CGGAAGAGCTGGGCCGAGGCGCGGCGCCGCGCAGCCCCGGCGCCGCCCGCCCTCAAGAGGACCCGGGGCGCGGCGCCGCGGGCGGCGGCGGCGGCTGAGGGGCAGCGGCGGCAGCTGCTCCCGGCCGGGCCGGAGATCTGCCTGAGGATCGCGGGTGAGGGCGGCGTGCCGGGGGCGCGGGGCGGCGGAGGGGGGTGTCCCGTCCCGTCCCGTCCCGTCCCGTCCCGCCTCGCCGGCCCCGGGGGTGTCCCGCTGTCCCGTCCCGCTGTCCCGTCCCGCCGCAGCAGGACCCCCAGGCAGCCTTGGGGGGGCCGGGTGTCCCCAGCCGGGGTCTGTGCCGTGTTCACACCGCGGGCGCTGCTCTCGAAAGCTGCGCGGGCTCCCGCCCGGCGGGATAAATAATCCGGCGCTGCCCTCAGAGCCCCGAGCACCCATCGCCCCGCGCTGCCGCTCTCGGCTCTGGCGGAGCGAACGGAAAACAACGATAAACGCGTTTCTGTCCGTTCGACACGTTGTGGGGTGGGGAAAAAAAGTAACGCGTTTCTCCCTGTATTGGGGTGTATATATATATATATATTTATACACACACACACATATATATATATACATGTATAAATCTTTCCCCTGGTGTCCTGCTTGCTGGCTAATGGGTGAAACGATGGGCAAAGGTCCCACCTCTTCTTGGCGCGGGAGTGCCAGCAGGTTTTATCTGGAGAGTCAAAATAGCTGGGTTTAAATCAGTCGGGTTCGCTCGGTGCCGTCCCTCCTTTTTGTAACCCGAGGCGCCGAGCCGTGCTTTGTTTTGGCACAGGGACCTGCCTGTTTCGAGGAGCCTGCTGGAGCAGTTCTGTAATTCAGGTTTGAGTCTCCCCCCCAGCTAAAAGACGAGCTCGAGTTTAGTTTGCCCGAAAGCAACAATAACAACAACAAAAACCACCACCAACAAAAACAACAACAACAACAAATCACTTTCTAAGTGGTGTCAGAATGTGTATTTACAACTTCTCATAGAAAGCAAGGGATAAACCTCTCAGCACAGCTTTTGGAGGGACGTGGGAAATATCTGTGGACAGAGCAAGCAAAAATGGAAAGAGCAAGCATGGAGAAAAGGCACCAGTGTACCTTTTCTTTCTGTGCCAAGAAACAGGGCTCCTTAAATTACCTAATGTGTCTTCTGGATAGCAGCACGTTTAGAAAACCATAAGATCTTGTTTTGAAAATTGGGTATAGCGATGTGGGGAGAATGTAAACTCCCAAAGCTTCCCAGAATCTTCTTTTTAAAAAGCTTTGATACTGTTAGGGAGGAAAATCCTAAATACTCCAGCCTAAAATGCAGCATTTTAGGCCTAATCTTCCCAGAGAAACATAATGGTGTACTTATCTGCAGAACGCTAAGGCTGCAATAACTCCAAATGTGCATTTTTTGCTGTAACAGCAACCATTTATATAGGAAATGGTGATGGTGCTGTTCTAAGGTTAAGTGTAGAAACCTCTCATTTGACAGATTTTTGATATCAGGTAATTTCAGTACCTGGATTACCGTGCAGGCCTGGGCAACTCACATCTCCAGCAAACAGGTCTCTAACCATTGTCATGCAGCAACTGCTTGCATCTGATAATGTGTGTCTGGCATCAACAGGCCCATTAAATTACTGTATTTTCTCCTCCAAAGAAATGCTCACCCTTCTAAATACAGTAGAGCAACTAGGCTTTGACTTGTGTTTTTTCAGTGGGATTTCACCATGTTCAGCAGTACCCAGTATAACAAATTTGATTAAAGTGCACTAGACTATTATATCTAATAATACTTCATTTTGTCTTGATCTTGCTGTGCACAGTGGATACTGTTTACAAGCTTCTATCAATGGAAATATTGTCTAATTTTTAGTTCACTGCTATCTTGTGCGTTTTTTTAAAATAGAAATCTCAAAAGAATAAGCTAACAGGCTTACCTTTTTATTCATCTGTTTTAAAGTCATGTCAAATTTTGAACTATCAGTTCCACCTTTTCACGGTGCAGTTCTGAGAAATTAGTAACTAGTTTTGGGCTGGAAACAGGTAAGGTGTTATTCTTAAAAGTGGACATAACTGGTAAATATTTGAACTACTGTAAAGATGGAGAGATCTGTGTGAGCTTATCTGCTTACAGAAGTAGTGCCCAACTTATTCAGAACATTGCAGGCCAGCCTAATTTTCATCTTTGCAAAAGACAGAAGCGGAACATAAACCCAAATTGCTGTAAACTTTCCTTTGTGTGATGTTACTTTCATGAACAGCAAAGTTTCTAATCCATTATTTGCATGAATTTTATACTCAAAATACTTACAGTAATTATTGCATTTCTTTATTTTTTTAGTGAGTTGTATTCATCAGCCATTATTCGTCAGAATAATTATTAATCAGAATCACCTAAATATTTTTGTTTACTAGTAAGACTTCTTCAAGAAAGCTTGAAAGTTCTTTCAGAAATTGTTTTTGTTTGGTCTATTAAGCTGCATAGTAAGCTTTATCATTCTCTCTTTGCCAGCTAATGCTTGAGGCTTGCTGGTGCTAATTCCAGTTGCTGGAAGTGAGTGCATTTCTTCTGTTTATTAGAAGTGTGTTCCCATGTCCTTCTGATCTCTGAGAGAAGTAATACATATAATCCAAAGAAAATGTAACAATCCTGTGTGAGATGCTTGAAAGCTACTAGTTTCCTTTCCTTGTCTGCTTTTCTTTGTAATTGCTCTGGTTTTATAAGTAAAATTATAAAGAAGAGGTGGAATTATAATATATAAACCTCAGGCAAAAGCTGTGTGTTTCTATTTCCAGTGGCTAATTCTAAAATGAAGTAACTACAATAACTATACGTGGCATAAAATTTTAAGTAATCATGGGGCATTTCCTGACTTTTGTTTGCCTTCCTGCTGAATATATACATCCAGTTTGTGTACAGTGAGGAACTAACAACTTAAAGGATCCTCTAAGCTGCACTGTACATGCCTATTTGTTTTTTTTCCACTGTGAATCATTTTGCTTACACTGTCACTTGGATCTGATAGTGAAATACTCATTTTAATATATTCATTGAGTTTTTGGTTTTGTGTTGTTTTTTGGGTTTTTTTTCAAACCACTGAGTTGTCTTTTTCCCCTATTGCTGACTTGTCATGATAAACTTAGTGTCCTATGTAGAAAACTGTTTTTTTGGAATGCTAAGGACTCTTCTAAAAAGTATCATTAAGCTTACAACATTTTGACTGTAAACACTTTCAATTAGTTTTTATTATTCAACTATCTCGGTACAAAAGCTGTTTACTCTTTCATCAATATGACCTCACTTTCTTGTTAGTCCTAATCAAAATTGAGATTTTAAATACGTGTTTGAGGCTTTTAGTGTCTAATCCAGAACTGAAAGTGCATGAAGATACATAATCTTGTGTGCCAGTCAAGAGCAGCTGAGTGCCAGGACTCTATTTTAGTGAAGTAGCAGTGTTGTTGATTAGTCATGACATAGCCTTTAAAGTAATTCTTTCATGGTTTTCTGTTAAATGAAAAGTTCCTTTAGCTTTTTAGCGTGCTTTCATTTTCTTTTTCAGAGTTCAGGCTGTTGTTCTAATTGCCAACTGTGTCATCACCAAAATTTGAAATATCATAGTGATGACTGAATTAATCATTTCATATTTTCTCATATATCATTCATGTGTTGACTTTTAAGTGAAACACAACAAAATTCCATATACCAACTCTAGATCTAGAAATGCACTTCTCTTCCTGTAGTAAATAACTCTTTGGTTACATTCCTGGTAATTCAAAACAGACTAACACTGGGGTTTGTTGTACTGTCAGTCTCTGAATTTCTCATCTAAGGCATCTGTTTAACAACAGAGCTGTGGAACTTCTTTTTTTTAATTAAATAATCTTTGCTGATCATATGCAGACTTGTCCTGCCACTGGTGTCTGTTCAGTATTTAGTTGTCTCTTATCACAGAATCGTTTAGGTTGGAAGAGACCCTTAAGGCCCTCAAGTCCAATGGTGACTCTCAAATTACTGACATTTCTTCCTTGAAGGCCTGTGCAGCAGAACCTGAGAAGCACCAGGCTTATTGGGAGTAAAAGGAAGGGGGTTATTTTTTCGTCTCTAAATTCACATTAACGTGGTTTTGAAGTATCTCTCAGCTTTCTACACTGCAATCAGCTTGTGTAGACATGCTTGTGCTACCTTTAGTCTCACTAGTTGAGGTACCAGCTGTGGTAGCCTAGTCCTCTGTTAGGGGTGTGTAGGCTCATTTTCTTGTACATTAGATGCTTACTCAAATTAATTGCCAGCAGTGACGTCTGTATTTATGTATTTTAACTGTTTTGTTATATAAGGCTAACAAAATTAAGTGTATTTGAAGTATATCTAACATGCTGCAGTCATATCTCCTCGTTGCAGTGCCTGTAAGGCACTGAGCCCCACTCTTGTTCTTCTGAGAGATGATTAGGAAGGTCTGCTGCAGTTTGATAGTTTTAGGGTGATTTTTTTATCAGAAATTTGCAGGAATTAGGAAGTGCTCGAGCGCAGTTCATGTAAGCGAAATACCAAAAAGCTAAAATTAGCAAAGGAAACATGAAGATAATAAAAGGGAAGCCTGGCTTCTGGCAGTTCAAACCTTTGTGGAGTCCTAGTGAAATCAATTCATCAGTGTTTGAGTGTATTTTAGGTGTACACCCCCAATCCTGCAATCAGATGCTTAATGAAGGAATTCTCCTTTCTCTTTTAATTCCTGTTAAAAAAAATCAACACACTAATCCTTGACTAAACAGAACTGGGAATATGTTCAGAATAAAGCAGGTAGAAACAGCCATGGTGAGTAATACAGCATTTGGACTGGTAAGTCAGCAGAGAGGTAAATAAAATACACTTACAGGAAATTACTTCTCTGTGTAGCTCATTTCTAAAATCTCCCCATAGGAAACATGTTAAAAAGATGGAGCCTGCTGTTTCCATGATAGGGAGCAATTGTTAGCAGTGCACGGGAATGGGCAGCTTGTCAGGGTTTGGGCATTTGGCACATACTGCTCTTGTTGTGAAGTACTTCTGTAAATTCATTAAACTCAAGTTTCTTTCATGCGTTTTTAGAGTAGCTGCAATTAACGTGGTCCAGAGTTACCACTGCAGAAACTGTGTGCCAACAACAGTTCAAAATACACACTGCTGGCTCAAGATAGGAATTCTTATTTTTGTTGGACGTTTTTGCAGGAGCTGCAGAAGAATTTCAGTAAAAGTAGGAGCCCTGAGGATGTGACTCTGTCATTCCAAATCCTGTTTAGGAGCAAAATGCTAACTTATTTTAAGTCTTTGACCTGTGCAAATTATATTTATTTTCGTTTTGATCCCCCCTTTGTGTTTGAGGATTTTGGATTACTCTTTGTGTGGCGCTTTTGTATTTTCAAGTGATGTAAAGCTTCTGGGAAGAAGCTGAAGTGCAAGAAGGTAGCATGTCAGTTTGAGTACTACAGCCATTCTGCCCAGACTTTGATGCAGTTATTGTTTGTGTACAATGAAGAGGGAGAGCCCAGTCTAGTCAATAATTAGACTGGCACTAAAGGACAGATGCCATCGAGGGAGAAGTTTTGGCTGTGTATTCCTACTGTTAACACCCAGCAGGCTGGTTCAGTGAGCTAACTCGGAAGATTTTTCCTTGTAAGGAACCTGGTGGCAGCTAGCCATTAAATCAGTTTAGAAGTGGTGTGAAATTATAGCCTGGGGCTGTAGTGACATGTGTTTAATCTGGCAATGCCAGTTTAAACACAATCCCTAGATATCACATCCTCTCAGTTCTCCTTTCTGCTTCCTCCTTTGCCCTCAGTTCTTCCCTCACACACACACATTAGCTCACATTCTCAGACCAGAGGGAAGTAAATCAGCAAAGCAGCTTTTTAAATTTTTTTCTTTTTTTCTCCTTTATTTTTTTCTTTGCTTTGTTCTTTTTTTTTCCTTCTTTTTCTATTTTTCTTCTCTTTTTTTCTTTTTTTTTTTTTTTTAATATTGCACTTGAGTACCCGCTGCAGTTTCTAATTCATGCAAATCCACCTTGATGCTGCTCAGGGATTAACACAGAGGTGGGGATAGATGCAGGGAAGCCGTGGAGAGCTGGGGCTCCCTCCATCCCCAAAGCCCACCCCCAGCATTACCTTTATGTGAAGCAGTTTTTGCCACAGCATATTTTGCTGTGATTTTATTTTCCAGCTGGGATATCAGTGCACTTGCTTCTCCACATGTATTTCACTCTGTGGGCCAGTTTACTTAAAAATGCGTGGCATTACTCTAAATTTTTTGGTCCTTTGGTTTGTTTTTAGAGAATGCTTTGGTAAATAAATGGTGGGAGGTACATCGCAGGTAATACACTTTCCATCCTGTCCTGCAGCTGCTGTGCTTACAAGATGGGACTCTTAGGAGTTAAATGGTCAAGTCTTGGTGCCTTGCCTCTGCTGAGAGAGTAAGGAAGGAGGTGCCTGACATGCCTTACTGTACATCCCACTGGTTGCACCTGACCTGTAAATGTTTAAGCCAAACGATTCACAACAGGCAACAGAAATGAGCATTTTGCAAATGTGCACTTTTTGGTGGTCTTTTCTGCCTTCACCCCTTGAGATATTGCTGTACAGAGGTGAGCACTGAGTACTGACTGTTGAAATACAGACGTGCCAACTCCTTTCCATGGCACACTTATTTTGAAGATACAGGTAATGATGTCTAACTGCTGGTCACGGAGGATGTTTTGAAGATTAAAGTGATTTTTTTTTTCCTGCTGTCTCAAAAAGGAGATACAGTTTTTCTCCATCACAAATTCTGTTTTGAAATAATACGTTTGCATGCAGGTGACCTGTTTTGATATTTAAGTAATACCTCTAGTTGGAAACAAAAGAAAGGTTTCTTTTTAGGTCCGAATTTTAATCCAGATATGATATTTTTTCAGCAGGAGGAAGACAAGTATTGCTGTGGTGCTGCAAGCCTCAATTTTTATTGACCAATTACCACAAGCACAGCAATTTATTAGCAGCAGCACAGTCGGTGTTTAAAGTTCACTGGGCCCTCAGCTTCCCCGGCCATAAAAGTAATTTATATCTGTGAGAATACTGCTGGTATTTTTTTTTCCCTGCAAAAAAAAACTTAACAAAGGAAGCCAGGGCAAGATGTCTCCTGCCTGCAGGCACAGTGGCTTTGGAGGGGCAGTGGGTAAATCGTGGTTTTACAGAGGGAGTTCACTTCAAGGTTTTAGTGTCTTTGGCGTGAGTGCACTTCATCCTTTGGTTTAACGTGGGTGCTCAGAGGTGCAGAGGGATTTGTGGTAATTTTAGGGGGGGTTGTTGCTATTTGGAGTGCAACCACCTGCCAGAGGAGGACCCTGCTGTGGATGTGGGTGCAAGTCGGGCTCCTGCTATTTTACCGAGTCGTCCAACGGGGAACACTTTGGAAAAGAACACAAAAGAGCTGCGGATTATGGGAACACCGCTGAGCAAAAGGCCTCAGTCTTTGTGTGCCTTGTTTGTTCAATACGGGAGCAATAATAATACCTGGTTGGGTAATACTCAAAAGAAGATTTTCTTCATTTTAAACCATTTAAAGTTGTACCCCTGACAGGTAATACTTCAGGCTTTCAGCAGAAAAACGTGGTGCTTATAAAAGCTTCAAATTTTCTTGCGTTTCAGATCGCCTTTATTTTGCAATTCTCTGCCAAAAACCAAAGAGTGGAGCTGCAAATACCCATTATTTCTGCATAGATGATGAACTTGTGTATGAGAAGTAAGTATGGTCTTATTTTTTCTGTATTTTTTTCCCGAAATGAATTAGTCAGAACACCAGCAGTGAGGAAACAGCCTGATTGGCATTCTGTTTTTAAATTGAGCTGAGGGAAATATACCATTTCCATTGTAGAATTAATTACATGAGTTTGGTCTTAGGCCTATCTGCCATGATTATATGCCTTAGAATAGTTTCTTGCCTTCCAATCAGGATTTCTTAAAAACATTTTCGAAGCAGAAGCTTTCATTGTACCCATTCCTGTTAGAAGACCCAGGAACATGATACAGCCACGTAGAGCCAGAAGTGCTCATTGAACTGCCAGGCTGAAGGGGGTGTCTGTGGTTGTTCATGTATGAAGTGGAATGTCTGAACTTCCTACAGTAAAGAGTAAAAACTGGCAAAATCAATTCCAGCTTTTATGAGCTGACAACGGGTATATTATTTCCCCTGTAGTGAACAGTGTTTGCCTTTTAGCTTTATGTGGAATGCTGCTAATTCTTTAAATGTTTTTGACCAAGGGCGTGCTTGCTGGTTTTTAGAGTACTAATCAGTCTTTATTCTCTGTGTTTACTTTTCTATAGCAGTATCAATTGCCTTCTTTTTAAAGTAAAGCTTATGAGTTACTCTTAAAATAGAGTTTAAAAACCTTTGTCACAGAGTAACACAGTAGTGAGAAATAAGTTCTTCAGACCTTGAGTTTGGTTTTGAACGGTGCTGTGTGAAAAACAAGAAAGTTTTAGTCCATGTTTGTTTAAAGACCACAAAACTGTTTCCTCCAACAAAATAGTGTGTCTGTATGTATCTAAGAAGGCATGCTTGTTTTTAGAATGATGTACACATGTCACTTGTATATTATTACTCCTTGTTTTGTGCATCTTATTAACAAGAGAAGATGTTCACAGGGGTCATATAAAAATTTTCTCCTTTCTTCTACCAGCTTCTATGCAGACTTTGGACCACTCAATCTGGCAATGGTCTACAGGTACTGCTGCAAGCTAAATAAGAAGCTAAAGGTAATGCTTGAGGGGTTTTTTCAACATTACTGAGTTCTTAAAGGACAAAAACAAATGGGCAAAAGGTTTTGGTTTGGGTTTTTTTTGTTGTGGTTGCTGTTGAGGTGCTTTCCTAGAATCCTAATCCAGCTGAGTTTTGAGTATGAATGCCAGAGTTTGAGGTAAATTTAGGGAGGAGGAGGATCAGAAGGGAAGACCCAGATACTTTTAAGAACCAGATGATGTACCACTGTGGCAGTAACTAATGTTAAGCTTCTTAAAGGTCAATTGCTAAATGAGTACAGACTCTTTTAAATTAAAAGCTCCCCTCCTGGAATTCAGTTTTGTTGGCAATCTTGCCCATATTGAGTGAGCTCGGGTGCAGTGCAACACGGTTTTATCTGAGATGTTTTTGGTTTGATTTGGTCTTTTCTGCTGCTGACATCTCTTTAGTAAGAAGTAACATTTGCTCTTCAGTAGCATTGATAGCATTGGCCTGAAGGAGACTGCTGTGCTCCTTCTGCAGATTATTTTCTCTTAGGGATGCTCAGCAGTTTTTGGGATTGGGCTCTTGATAGAGCACAGTGTCTTTAAAACAGGGACTCCCTACTTCCTATAATAATTAACACGAGTGACTACAAGTTACTTGACCTCTAATAGATGTTGGAGCATAAAGCCTGTTAGGCAGATAAAAAAGCTTATTTGCATTAATGTGAATCACAGTTTGCCTCTTCAGAACTACTTAGATCTTTAAGCTGCCACTGAACTGTGAAAATTGGAAAGTATACAGAACATTATAGATTAAGAGTGTATTTTTTTTTTCATTCCTTGATGTCTGTCACTGATAATAGTTTGCATAATCCAGACTTGCTTTATCCCTGTGGTACTACAAACAGGTTTGCCAGAGATAAGGGTCTCTGATTTTTGTTTACAGGATGCTCTGAAGCAACACAAGTCTGTATGATAATGCTTTTCAATATCTTGGGTTTGATATTGGATTGAGAACATATTTCTGCTTGTGATCTGGGGTTTATTTGTGTTGAGTGCATTGAATGGTATCTGAGCAAGTAACATTGCTATGTAAATACATAAAATGACATTTTATGATAGCTTAGCAGGTGATCAAAGCATGCAGTTTTAAGCACATCAGATTTTGTTTCAGGGGCCAGTTAGGGAATAACTACCACCACAGATGTGTGTGTCCTTTCTGTGGAAAATGCCATTCCACTCAGTTTCTAAGATAATTAGAGAAACTGTATGCCAAGCCAAGATGATATTTTAAAAAGCTATTTATGATAATAAGTTTAGAAATACTTTCAAAATATTTTAATCTAAGCATGTTTCTGATGCTTAGAAGCAAATACTAGTGGATTTATATAGAGTCAGGTTTTCTTTAAGAATGAAAAAGTCTAAATTCTGTTTTTAAAACTGTTGCAACTTTATTATGCCTGTGATGTTTTTGAGAAGGCCATTTTCTGTTTACTTCTGATAAATGGCTATCTGTTACATAAGGGTTGAAGTTGGAAATATTAAATACATGTAAGAAGAAAAATAAAAGATTCCTGTAATTTGTACCGAAAATTATTTAGGCTGGATACTGGGAAAAATACCAGAACAATCTAGATGGGGATGCAAAGTTTTCCAGAGCTTCTGAGGGACTAGTCTGCAGTATGGCTGGTTCTCTAAATACAGGTGGCTGAAAGTAGATAAACAAACTCTTGCTTTCCTCTAGTTTTATAAAAGAAGGGATAAAAGGTCTAAAATGCAAAATCATAATCTTGTTCATTTCTTGATACAGTCATTTTCATTGACAAGGAAGAAAATAATTCATTATACTGGCTTAGATCAGAAAAAACAAGCAAATGCTGCATTCCTCATAGGCTCCTACGCAGTAAGTATTTAAAGTTTTACATCAGCTGCTAACTGTGTTCATTTTTTCATACTCAGTTTTTAAAACAGCAAGATAAAGTCAATTCTTTACCCTTGAAAATCATCCTACCATCATTATACTAATGTACAACATAACAAGAGTTTCTGAAGTCTAGCAGCCATGTGAGTGAAGTTGTATGGTTTTAGGTTTTTTCCTCCCTACTGCAATCTGTATCCCTAGGAAGTAAGAGCATCACTGAAAAGAAAAATCAGTATTTCCATTTCATAAAAATAACTGCTTCTTGAAGTTTTACCTTTCCCCCAACCACACAAACAGAAATACAGAAATAGTGTCTTGCACTGAGTACAGTGTATCATTTACCAGTACATGCATGTTTAAATAACCTTTTCCTTCCCCAGCTGTGCCTTTTTTACTCTAAGATGATCTCTTCAATTAACCCAGGAGAATTAGTGAGAATGTGGGATAGGCTTAGAGCTTGTATAAAGCCTGGAAGTATGAAAGGTGGCTGCAAAGGTACAAAGCCAAGGGTGTGACTGCAGAGGAGAAAAGGGCTGCCTTTACATCCTGGCTGCATGTGTTTGTACACAAAAGTGTAGTCAAGGAATAAAATGCCGAATGCCTCAGAATGAAAGATGTGATGTACCATATTTATGTTCTGTTTGGACTCGTAACACGCCTTGATTGTAGCCGTTTCTCTCGTTTGCTGAGTAATAAAATGAAATTAAAAGCTCTGTGCTTTTTGATGTTGGAGGTTTGAGGGGTCAGAGTTCCTGTAGCCTCAGGTCATTCCTATTTATTGGCTGCAAGGCTACCCAGTGCTTTCTGTGATGCAGGCAGCCTCCTTGCTGCCTCTCTGCATCATGCAGGATGTCCATTTTCTGCTCCCCAGGGTTTCTCTGTTGTCTGTATTTTACAGCATTTATTACAAATTGAGAACTAGATTTCAAAATGTGTCACTCTTGGTATTTGAAACTCAGGCACTTAGAAATGTTGCTGTAGACCTTTGCTATTTTAAACCACATGGAAACTGGTAACATGTGTTACTAAGCTTGTTTGCATTTAGAGGGATTGTGCTGACAAAACAGCTGCAGCTTTTAGGAAAACTGCTTCTTCCTAATTACTTGATCAAAAGGGAGGCCCAGAAAGTGAGAGAGGACTGGCTTCAGTTATTAATCATTATTTGAAAAGAAACGGGTTTTGGTTTTCCCTACACTTCTGAATGTGCCCTAGTATTGTGCAGCACAGCAGCTGACATTTAGAGCAGAAGTTTGGTACAGAAAACTAATTAATGGCAAGGCAATCTAAAGAAAATAGTGTGGTTAACTATGCAAAAGTGTACAGAGAAACTAATACAAATCTCATTTTTGTTCATCTGGTAGCCCTGTGTTCCGATCCACTTAGATGGAGAGGGGAACCAGGTTCTAAAACATTCCGAGATTAAGGCACAAACAAGGCCAGATGCTGGATCCCAAAACGATAATTCAGCTTTATCTTTGTAAAGAGCAGAGAGAAAGAAGGAAGGTAGAAAAGCAGGAAAAGCTCAGGGTAACTGTTAAAAGCACAGGACAGGAGTTACCGCCCCAGTGAAGTGCTGCTGGCTTGTGAGCTGGTACATCTCTGCTCCTCCCCTGGTCGCCTTGTACCCTCTGAGGCAGGCAGAGTAACAGAGTGGCAGCAGCTCCTCCAGCAGTCCCCGGGCATGGCCCTAAACTCCTTTGCTGTGGTAGCCCCTGGGTGCCCACTGGCCAGTTCACCAGTATCCGAGCAAAGGTCGCCTGGTACCAAAATGGGCCCTGAGTATTCAGTGTGCCATACCTTACTGGGGAGGGTCCCTGCCATATTCTTGATTGTAACAACTTCTGATTTTTTTTTTTTTTTTTGCTAAGAATAGCTTGACTACCTGCCTGCCATGGCTTGCTAGTTACCTCCTGGAGCGTTTGCAAGCAGCTCAGCTCCTGGAGCAGCGTAGCTGTTGCATCAAGACCTTTTAGCTCCATGCTGGAGGCGGTGGCTCAGCAGACTCCATCTCTTAATCAGTCCATTACACTCTGCTGTGTTGCAATAACAGCATGCGGTTGAAGGGTAGTGCTTGAACAGACTTGAGTAAAGCTCTAAGATTAGTATGTATGGATTATGACAGTCCAAAGCACAGTAATTTAGCGTGGGAGCTGTTGTACAGAGGAGTAGGTGATGGGGATTAGTAGCAGGCAGTGGGGGTTGCAGGGTAAAGGAAGGATGCTCATACAGATCCCGCTGAAGTACGACAGGAGATCACGACTGACTAGCCCGTGCATGTGGGAGTGCTGCTTGCAGACAGATGGCACATGGCAGGAAGAGGCCAGTCAAAACCACCGGCTTAAGTTACTGCCTTGAATACATTGACTGTGTCAGCAGTTTCTCTTCAAGGCCCAGGGCAATGTGAAGTGCAGTTTGAGCACCAGTCGCCTCCCTGAATGTGGGCATGTCTGTCCTGCATATCCGCAGGTCTCAGATGGTGAGTTGGCTCTAGCTGGATGGATTTGCTCTCCAGTGCAATAGGCTTTGGCTTTGGTACTGCTTTTTCTTCGCAGCAAGATCAAGTTGCTTCCCAGTTTCATGTGGGAGGGATTCCACTGAAGAAAGACTGTGCCCCCGAGGCTTCCTTTTTTCTGTGGCACCCTTTGATGATCTTTCCTGAAGAGACAGGCTTAATTACAGCTCCCATTGCTCAGGTGTTCAAACATATTTGAACATTTGTGCCATATTTTTGCTTTCTGCAGAGAGAATTGGATTGTTCTTTCTGGAGTGAGCAATGATGTAGGATCTGTTCGGAATGCATGATAAACATGTCTGTAAGTGTATTTCCTTACTGAAAGGAAATATCGAGGCCTTGTTTATTTGAAACATATGTAGGCTTAAGCATCCACCTTCTTCAGTTCAGAATGCTTTGCTTGTTGATGAAGAAGGATCCACCCAGCTATTGGTCAGATCTTTCAGAAGCTTTTCTGTAATTTTATTGTCAGACTCTGTCATGTTGGTGATGCTTCATTGCTTGAGCTGGTTGTCATCATTTAATTTCTGATCTTACAGTGTAAGTGGCAGGTTGACACTGTGTTTTGTTTTCTGTGGATTGAATGTGTTTTCTTGCTGGATTCTGTTTTTTTGGCTTTATGGTGGGTTCCCATTTCAACAGTTTACCTTAGAGTGAGGAACTGTGTGGCAGTGCATGAGGTTTGATGCTCAAGGAAGAGCAAGGAGGTAGAAAGGGAGCATGGCCTTTGCAGAGTCAGTCATGAAAATGGTGCTTGTCTACATCTGTTGTAAGGCATTTGAGAACTTAAGCACAGTTTTGGATGCAAAGTGCTCTGCAGATGCTGGTGCTGCAAGTTACTTGTTCCAAATAACAGGCTGCCAGGTTTTCAGGAACAGCACAGGCACAGTAAGTGTGCCTGATTTCTGTTTTGGGATTTTGTGGCTTTCTGTTTCAAGCACAGTCACATTTAAACTATAAAACTGTGATAAACAGTTTAAACTAGTTCTCCTCTGAGACTTCCATGTCCTCCATTCAACTTCTGAACGTGTAATTTTAAGGGCTTGTTGACCTTAAATTTGTATTATTAAACAGAATATTATTTAACTTCTGCTTCAAGAAGTTGGGATATATTAGCATGGTTTATAATTCAACATCTTTTATGTAAATGTGTATGTGTGTTTATATATATATGCTCATTTGGACTACTAAGGCACTTATGAAAGTCTTTATTAACTGTGGTGTGGTGAGGGCAGCTGTTAGTGTTCTCATTTCCAAGCAAAGTCTGTTCTGAGTCTTTTCTTCACAGTTGGTGTATTTTAATGTTTCCCCTTCCCTTCATCTAACTTGTCTTTCTTCCCTCTTTAGTGGAGATAGTTTATGAACTCTCCAGACTTCATACTTCTTTCTCCCCCCTCCTGCATCTGCTGCTTCCTTCCAGGTGTACTTTGATGTGACAGCACAGCCTAACTCAAGCTCTTCAGTATAACATGGCCTTGAAAGTGAAGAACAAAATTTACAAATACATTGTTATATATGTAGTTTTAGAATGAAATATTATTTTTTTAGAGTAAATCTTAACAAATTAGACCTTAATCCCTTTGTTGTTCATCTTTCATCCATTTTAATTCTGTATTTTGTTTCATTTTTACAGATGATATACTGCATAATGGGAATAATACTCTTCTGTGTAGATTAGCAAAGATTTGGCAGCCACACATTCAGCCACACAAAGGGCAGCCAGAACTCTGTGTTGGGGTTGAATGTTTTACACTTTATTTGGGTGGAGGGGGAAAAGGGAAAGAAGGGCGGGGGCTGGGGGGGAAGCTTTTGTTCTTCACCTTTTAAAGAAAAATCTTTTCCTTGAAAGCTGTCTGCACTGTTCAGGCCTTACCACACTACCAAAGCAGCAGTGATCTTCTGAGTTGGTATCTACAGTGGCTTCTCTTGATTTTCGCCAGGACTTGGCTGTGGGTGAGGAAAGTCTGCTTCTTCCATCATTGCTCCTTCTATATTAAGAAAGAAAATGTACCCTCTGTGTCCTGTCCACCCAATTCCCAAGCTCCCCCCTCTCCCCTTGGCTACATTGACTTAGTAACAGTGTTTTTTTCCTCAGGCCTGGCACTAATTATGTACTTGGAGGGTGACCCTCCCAGGGTACCGCCCCATGAACTGCTGTAATTCAGGTCACCTTCTCCAGGACTCATCTCTGTACTTTGTCTATTTTCTCATCTTCTTTCTTCAGGGTAAGCAGCGTTTCCTTCATCCCTTCTAATCCACAGTATTGGTTTTTTGCCTTTTCAACTTGTTAGTGTCCTTCCTGGCTGTGGGCCTCATGCTGGGTAGGAGCTGGAGCAACAGTTGGCACCCATGGGTGTGATGTTGAGCTGCTCTGTTCTTACTGTGGCAATTGCAGAGTTATCTTTGGCTAAGCCTGAAATAAACCTGTTCAGTGGTCCAGTTTGGGTGGTGGTCAGTGGGTGGTTAGGAG